TAGTAGTAGTAGTAGTAGTAGTAGTATTATTAGTACTAGTGGGGTGAGACTGAGTTCACTTGGTACTGTGGCCACTACTGGCCTATTGTACCAGTTCCAGATGCGAAACATGGGTGATTGTGGAGCAATTGGTGGAGCAATTGGTGGAATGAAGATTGGTAGGGGAAACTCGAAGTACTCGGAAAAAACCTGCCCCAGCACCACTTTGTCCACCACAAATTGCACATGGCCAGACCTGGGCTCATACCTAGGCCACAGCAGTGGGAAGCTAGTGACTAACTGCCTGAGCTATGGTGCGGTCTCACATCCTTCTCTATATTCAGTCTGCATAAACCATACATGAAATAGGACAATGGCTGTAAACGTTTGTAACCTAGCAGTATAATGTATGTGGAGCTAAGGTAGCTTAGTCTGTGTAGTAACAGGCTGCAGAATGAGTGGTAAGGTTTCAGTTACCTGAAAGTCAGTGGTAGGAATTTTCTCTTTACCATGATATTCTGGCCAGCTATGAGGTCTATTGAAGCTCCTTTATAAGCAAAGTGGCTACAGTGCAAAGCTGGCCATTCACCCCAATCCAGGTGCCAAGTCTTGCAATTATGCTCTCTGCATATGTTCACAGTGTGATGCTTGGGCACACGAATAATATCTTCTGTTTGGAAGATACCTGAATCAGTAGGTATGAGTAAAATTTCTCTAGGACTATGCACTGAAATACAGTTTTATTTACAAGCAGCAAGTGTTATTTGTTTGCTGACTAATATTCTGGTGCTTCACATTATATCATCCAGTGTCTGAAGTAGTCTTGTAATGGGAAATTAACACTTTACGGTCAGATGTTGAACAGTAAGTACTGGACTTAATAATCTGTTTTGTATATCTGGTTTATATGTGGTCATACTACAGAGTGAAATTTAGTAGCAGTTAAATTAATGACTCAGAATAGCAGCACCTCTGTGCTGGCTTACCTCCTAGTCTGCCAGTTTTGGCATTATGCTAGCAGTTGGCAGTATTTAACAATAAAGAAATTAATAGCAAAGAATCCTGTAGGTTCAAAAAATGCAGAATATAGCTGCGTGCACCATGTAATGGCAGAGGAAGAAACAACTTTATCAAAATGCTTTCAAAATAAAAAGTGATGACATTGTCATAATCTTAAATAAACATATTATTCTGTGGTGGTTTGGAGATAGCACCTGTAAATGACCATCATAATTTGTGGGAGCAAGGATGTTTGATTGATTGATTGATTGATTTATTTATTTAACATCCATAACTGTTACATTATGTACAATTGGACAAGTCAGTTTTTTAAAAAAATATATGAGATTAAACATCACATCAAATGACTAATAATATAAAAATCATAGAAAAATAACATAATAAGTCCTTTAAATATGATAAAACAGTGGATGAGTATAATAAGGCAACAAAAGCTAAACTATAAATTACATGCAATAGCTAAAATAAATTACCTAATTATCTTTGTTTTTTTATTAAGCTAATTCTTGTAAAAATATTCTTGAAGGGAATAAAAAGCTTTGCACAACAAGTAATCCTTTAATTGACGCTTAAAAACCTTGAACTCTTGAATACTTCTTATTTGAGAGGGCAAGTTATTATACAATCTTATTCCCATGTTAATCACACTCCTTTTACAACGTGAGGTGTTACATGGTTGGACATATTATTATATTATTATATTAGCCCACTGGGCACTGAGGACTGACTAGCAAATTGGTGTTCTCTCCTATTACTCCTGGCCACTTGAAGAGAAAGCACATTTTACTAAAAGATCATAGTTTCTCAGCTAATTTCCCTATGTGAATGATTGTAAAATTGAAATATAGAGAAATTCCCATGGAACATTTGGTATATTTACATTTACACAAGTTAAATATCTGTCAGCATGTCATTACTACTATTAAATTATGATCTTCCTTTTCTTATGATTACACCACCAAATGAGTGTTATTAACTGAAATATTCCCATGACTCTTTTCACTAGTAATTCCATATCACTGTTACTTTCATCACAATTGCTTTCATTTGATTGAAGTTCACTACCTGTAGTTAATTTCTCAGAACACAAGAAGTCTCTAACCATTCTTCATAGATTAACTTCGTTATCATTTTAATATTTCTACTCTTTTGTGCCATCAAAATTGGAAATGTCAAAATTTGTTAATGCATATAAAACACATTTGCTTTTTCAGAAGTCTGCAAATTTTTTCATAAATATAAAAGTGAAACTGTGTACTTGCAGGAAAGACAAAGAATATCAAGTTCACTGAACATGCCGATGTATTTAGTCTGAAGCTGGATAACTTTGAGAACAAGGTGAAGTACTTGAAGGAATTTATTGTATCTGAGCTTGGTCTTGGAGCTCCTTCCCGTGCTTACCAGTTCGCATCAGGATATCCATTTAAAATTGGAACTTCTAAGGTGCTTGTGGGAGTTGTGTCATCAATCAAGACCAGTGCATTTAGTGTCTCGGTGAGTATTTAAACGAAGGGTAACAGTGGCAGCCGATGACTGAATATGTGGACCCAGGGCAAAAGTAAATTACTCCCCTCCTATATTTAAGGAACTAAGGGACAACTTGTTTTCTAATTTAGAAGTTCATATTTTAAAGAGTTTGTATTTTAGGGTACATAATACTATTTTTAGCAACTTAGGCTAATTTTATGTTTACAAAGAGATTTAAAACCACAGAGTTTGCCCCCTCCCCTTCAGATCTGTTGCTGAACACCTTACTTCTCTTGGTAAATATACAGTCCCCACTTTGGTTGAGGAGGTTTAAAATCCCTCTAGGCCTATCAGTGTCCTCTTCTGCTGATGTTTCAGTCATATTGGATAGATCAGCAAGGATAAATATGGGTGTAAGAATGCACAGTTTCTACCACTTACAAGGCTGGACTGACTACATTCCTTACATGTTAAAAGTTTTTTGATGTTAATAGCAACAGAGATTTATATGAAACTTAATCACTTCTAAATTGTCTTTAAATTAAATTTGACACTTCTTCATTCACTTCTTTTCATCTATCGTATCTGTTTAATACCAGCACTAAAACTATACTCATTTCTGCTGCAGTGATGGTGCCCTTGAAACTATTACTCTCTCTACATAGCCTTATATTTACCGTATTACAATTTCATGTTTAGGCTTGCTAATGATACACTACATATTTCACCATGTGTGTCAACCTTTCGTCAATTGTCTGTTTGAAAATTTGGTTTCTTCTTTCTTTTTGTCTTTTACTTTCAAACATATTCATACTATGGGCTTGTCACTAAAAGTAACCATATACACCATTGTCACAACATCTTACTTAATCTTACATAAAAGTAAAATGCTAACACATGTTCTTCTTGCAGTGTAGCTCAACTCTCATTTTCTTAATTGGGAAGGAGACTAACAGATATATAGACAGTTGGGGGAGACACAAAAACATGCAGAATTCTACACAGGACTAGGACTTGGCAAAGGCACAGACTTGTGAATGGAAGGCATCACATCCATTGAGCACCATCACAAAATGGAAGGAACTAGAGTGAACACACTTCTTAAGGCTGTGGCGTGTGAGACAAAGGCCACCATGAATTCCTTGCAACATAAACAACTTTTACAATGAGCATTATGCTAAATATACTGTAGATAAACTATGAGAGTGTAATTTTTAACTTTTTCTACAGATTCAGCAGCTGTCAGCCCTGTACTCAACAAAGGTTTTACGTGATCGTGGCGTAGCATTCCATGTTGTATTGCCTGTAGATGATCTGCAGTTAACAAATAAGGATGCCAAAACTGTCAAACAGATTGTAGGTATGTATCATTGTATTTAGATTGAAAGGCTATTGAAATATGCAACAAAATTTGAGGAAATTGATGCAGCCAGAATAGGAAGTGAGGCTCATAAAACATTTTCCCTCAGTGTAAACACTGAAAGCATGTTATAAGAAACATTGTGTAGAAGATGTGATGGCAAACAGAATTTGCAATGTCAGTGAACCCCACAGTGTAAACCTGTCAGTGTTGGATTATTTTCATCTGTTTACCTAGTGCAGGAAGGAACAAGTTTTCATCCATTGCCAGACTCCAGTACAAATATTTATATTTTAAAATCTCGTTACATTCTGTATTGCACTGACAGTTAATGTATTTCTTGAATTTTCATGTGCCTAAAAAGTTAGGAACATTAGGGAGCTGTAAGTAGAGGCTGCAATGATTGTTCAGAACACATGTGTCATTTCATAAAAATAAAACGTTTGGATGTGGAGAAAACATCCCTCTGCAAAAGGAAATTGAAATCATGGTCTATCACTGTCTTCCTTTATTATGGAATCTGAAGGTACACTGCTTTTGCAAACAGAAAATGAACGAAAAGAAAAGATAAGACAAAAATGAGACATCTCTTATTATACTATATCAAAGGCCATCTAATTACAGGTGGTATAGTTCCACAGCCAAAATAATTTTTTCTGTGATATTTTCCTCCAACATTTAGTAAACAATTCTTTTATCTTCATAATAAGTTACAGTTTTTACCTTTTCCCCTCCAGTCTTCCTTTATATGCTATATGTAATCAACATCCTCCCTCTCTTACCTAAGACCTCTGTGTTCCAGTCTAATAAACACTGATGTACTAAATATGCTTTGCTTTATAACAACAGAATTACATCCAGTTCTGTACAAGTGTGTTTTCTTATGATCTACATGGACAATATTGGGGGTTGTATTGGTGACAAACAGATGAACGTTCTTTTTTTTTTTTCCTTAGGCTTCGATTCTCATCATGTATACTTGCTAAGTGATGCAAAGAAGAAGGTCTTGGAAGGCAGCACGGAACTACATAATGCCCTTACATACCATAACAATATTTGGATCCCCATTGCTCTTGATGTATGTACAACACCTTTATTTCTACCTCCTACTTAGAATAAATAACTACTGTCATCCATTCCAAACAGTGATCCATTTGTTGCTATATAATATGAGAATGAGACAAAAAACATAATATTAAAATTAGCTTACTATTTTCTGAACTGACTTCATGTCTTTATGTTGGCTCTTCATGTAGCATATGAAAGTAAATAAAAGTTCCATAGGAGAGATTAAACTAATGCACAGTCGTTTTCTTGCAGAGTTATGGTGCGGCATATGTCGCTCAAAATTTCTTAGATGCAAAAGCATCAGCTAGGAAGCAGTTCTTGCAGGTATTCTCACATCGTATTGCTGAGTCACTGGAAACAGAGCTGAATGAGGACTGCACATGCAATTTGGTGTCTGGATTATATCCCTTTTCTGTTTGCAAGGTCACTAATCGTAAAGAGAGGGAACCATTGTCTGTACGTATTTTTCTCTTTCTTTTATTCTTAGTAATTTGATTTTTATAATCTATAATCAACTAACATATCTATAACTTGACATCTGCTGCCTTTTTGCGGTATTGAGCTCTGTGTACTCAGTCCCCTTGGGTGTCCCATTCAGAGTTTAAAATTACGTTTTTTGGAATTTTGGAATATCCCCAAACACTAAACTGTTAACATCAATGATCTGTTATGTAAATGGTAAAGCTATCCCTGTAATGGGCCATGGAGGCCCATAGGATTGTGAGACATCAAGACTCCCACATTTTCTAGACAGTAAGCTTACAGATAGCAGTAAGGTTGTAAGCCTTATGTGCCGGTCGCCCTTTACTCCCTCAGGAAGTTTCCTTATACTCATTTCTGTTAGAGGTTGAGTCAACCCCAGGACCATAGTGCAGCTGGAAGGATTAGGTCAAATTGAAAAATCCAGTAACCTCATCAAGAACATAATCTGTGACCTTCCAGCTTGTAGCATAGTGCCTCAACCTACTATGTTACTGCATGACCCTTGTCTGTTACATGGCATATAAGTTCTTTTCTATTTCTCATACAGCTTCAAATTCTCTCAGAATAACTGTTGATTTGGCAAATGAAATATCAAAATATTGCTTAATTGCTGAAGACAAATCTACAATTATACGCTTTCACCCTGACTGATTATAATATCAGGACAAAAGATTAATAAAATCTTGGTTTTATGTCTGTGTGACCATCTCACCTTTAGTAGTTCAGGAGCTAATATTTTCTTTTATCTGTTATGAATTAGGTGCTTATAGTTACATTGATATTACAATCAGTGACTTAAACATAGTCATACATTTTGTGCTTAAACTTCACTTTCCTAGCATTTACTTATACTACAGGAATTATGTGAAATTTCTGTTCTGTTGCAGCAAATCAGGGCATCAAAGGGCGGTGTAAAGGGATGAAATAGAAACCACTGTAGAAGTCAATAACAACAAGCAGAAAATGGGAGAAACTGAAAAAAAATATGCTGAACTATTTGTATGATAATTTTTACTTTTTAAGTTATAAATATGATTGTAGTAAATTCATGAGAAATCATGATTATTGATTATGTTAAGTATTACTTCTAATTTGCATGTTATCATGTATAAAATGCTGGAGAAATTATTATTATCTATTAAATCATTTGTCTAACAGTGTAAAAGAACTATTTTATTAACATAGGAATGGGAGAATTTATTACCATCTCTTGGTAATACTGACAAATGCTAGTCAGAATCAGTCAAGAATTTAGAAAGGCAATATTATATAGAATGGCGTAAATATAACTTTGATACACTGTCATCAATTTGTATTATTTAAATTACACATATACCAATCAATGCAAATTCTAAGCTTTCTTTCTTGTAACATGAATTATGCGTACGACTCAATCTTTGTAGTAATATTTTATACTGATATAAATCATGGTTATTAGATTGGGATGTAAATAAATGGAAAGGCATACTTCCATCACCAACAACAGAACTATCAGTATAATTTATTCATTGGTGTTTCTGAAATAGTATAAAATCCATTTCACAATTAGGTCTGTAGATAAAATCCCAAGACCATGTTACCCGTTGTGATTATATGATTTTCCTCAATTTCTCTCAGCAGTTGCTGTAAATATATAAAACCATACATGCTTGATATTTCATAGACCTCTGTGGATGAGACATGCAGTCTCAGATTACCAGGTAGATTTATTGTTAATGTTATGCAGATATTTACTACAATTAAAAAATGAAGAATTTGGCACTGTGGTAATGAGCCTGATTGTTCAACATTGCAAGTGCCAACGCCTCCATTTGACAAGATCCTGAGCTAATACCATCCACATTCCATCCTCTTAACCTCCCCAAAACCCTTGACAGTATTTGTGTTACAACATAATATTAGAACTTCTTGAGGGAGAGAGGAACTGGTGGCTTCTCAAGAAGGCCTCGGATTCATGGAGTGAGTGAGTGAGTGAGTGAGTGAGTTAGTTAGTCTGTCATTCAGAGGGTTCATTATGTGTCCACCAGTGCAAGTTGAACCAGCAGCCAGACACGATTTTAAAAGAGATGATTTTGTTGTACCATAGTTCGTGATTTTATCTAAGATATAGAGCGTGATCGCAATGTCACAGTACCCAGCAGATATTCATTTCAATGGAAACTGTTGAATTATCAGAACCCATAGGCAGTGCTACAGTATAGTAGTTCAATAAAATTGTTGCGTACCCAGTGCGAATTGTGTAGTGGTAAGAAACGTGTTTAACATTTATTTCTATAAGAATGTCAGTGAATGCTGGCTATGGTATTGTCATGCAGAAGCCTCATCTGTAAGTGGTGACCATACACCTTTACACCATTATAAATGTACTATATTTTATTTAAAACATCCTTCCAATATTCTGGTGGGAATGGGAAATTCAGACATACTTACATAGGGAATTTCTTCTGTAAGGTATGGTACGACATACAAGCTTTCGTAGAGTTCATGGACTTTATTATAATGATGAATGTATTGTTAGTATTAATTGTGAACTCGGTGGACTCTGTTCCTGATATATTTTCCAAACATCACATAACTACAGGACTTTCACAGATGGAGACAGAAATGTATGAATTTCATTTACAAGATTTTAAATATTTCAACAATATATTAGTATTACAGGAAATCGATTAAATTCCTTAAGGATAAATGTTTAATACATCTGTATGAATCCCACAGCCTCAATAAAATTGTTTTTAATTTTGAGTTTATTTATAGGATCTTAAGATATCATATTGAATACATTTTACAAAAATTAGAATGTTAGAGACTAAATGTTGCTCCCAAATAATAGTATGCATATAGGATTGTTACAATTTGTTTGATCTTGAGCCAGATTATTTGCTATAGTTCATTTTTACAATTTATGCATTGAGGTTATATTTGATATACACAATAACAGTTATTGCTACAACAGTACACATTGCATTACGATTATTGGCCTTTTTGGATGTGTTGCCATCTAGTCTGGGAGTCAGGTATCAGTGTTTCACAGACACTTTCTGTTTCCATCTTCACACTGATCCTGGAAGACCATAATAATAATATTCACTGCTCTCAGGCCCTAAAATACACTTTATCCCATACTTTAGAATATGCTGTAGCCAGTGCCATGACCTGTGCTGTCTGTAGCAAATTTGGAAATTTTAATGCCATGCTCACAATACGTACATCATATCCTTAGGCACGCGCTTCTATCAAATTTATTTTAATATTGTTTTCTCATCGATGTCAAGATATTCCAAATCATCTCCTTGCTTCAAATTTTCCAACCAGATATTTCACGCGGTTATAAACGTTCCCATTCGTGCTACATGATCTGCACATCCAATACTCCTTGTTTTCTTCATTCGAATAATATTTGGTTAAGATTGCAGATTATGAAGCTCCACATTATACACTTTTCTCCAGTTTCCTGTGACTTCCTCCCCATATGACCAAATATTCTTCTTGGCAACCTGTTCCTGACACATTCAGTCCCTGTTGTCCCTTCAGCTTAAGAGTGCATGGTCCATGTCCTTACAAGTACACAGTCTAATTATATGATATTTTAGATTTCCCCATTACTAAGTACTAAGATATGTCTTACTTCAAGGTGGAGGTAGCATTCTCCTCTGGAATGTTCATAACAATCTACATGACTAAATGACAACATATTAAAAAAAAACACAATCCTAATAAAATCATAACTTTGCATATTTAAATCTTTATTCTCTAGAGAAGAGAAAGGAAGATTATTAAAACTCAGCATGTGCAATAGTAATTTGTCAAGTGTGTAGAATGATAGTGCAGTTACTAGTTAAGAGCCCATTAACCCTAATTAGCAATCCAAACCCCCTGTCTAGTCACTAACATGTGATAATACATATAATAACTAGTGGTTTGTCCGCCTTTCCTTCTGACAGTCCATCTGTCTCTATCAGTCCTACCCTGTTTCTCCCTAAAGTCGTGTCGCAGAAAAAAAATGGCAAAGAGAGAAATCGTCGCTTTTGGAGTGATGATCCCAGAGAAATTCGTCGCCCTGTTATATGGGTTTGAGGCCAGATCAGTTTCTTTCCTTATTATACTTCCCCCATATAAAACATTCGGACTGTTACAAGAATGCGTACTTAATCTTCGTAAGCATGGCAGTGAGGCGTTTGCATTGGATTATGGGGTCGCTTATATTTGTCCTGATATAGATAAATTAATTGTATATTCCGGTTATTATGAACAGGATAGTGTAATTTATGTATGTGAAATTCGAAAGCGAGGTCGTTTTAATGCGGGAATATGGGTTTCTGACTACATCCTGCATCCCAAGAATCATGTTCCAGAGGTCACAGTAATTGCGTGTGTGAGTCCAAGAACCCAGAGACATTACATGTCAGCAGCCACCACAAACAACATAAATATTGTGACATGTATACCCACCCATTGTTAGGTAACGACTCAATAAACACATTCCCGCGGAAGCAAACCCGCGCAACAATAGGACATTAATTGTTATGCAATGGATTAGTAAACACGACTCCTTAAAAATAGAGGCTGTGTTTTCTGATTGTTGCGTGCAAAATGGTTATAAAGAAGTGTTCAGCAGCATGAAGCGAAATGAAGAGTTGAGTTTCGCGACGCCAGCTTTGCGGGGTATGAACTTTGGAGCAGAGGAATTCAATTGAGCCGTGTCTTCAGAATTGGCAGTTTCAGAATAATGGCAAGAAAGGAATTAAGCTGTGCACAGAAGACTTCATGTGTGATTTGAAGTTACAGTGAGACGGTTATGAATCCGTTACCAGGATACGACTGGTGAAGACAGAATCTTAGTGTGTGTGTAACGGTGAACTGTATAGTGTGTAAATCAGTGATAGTGCTCTGTTTCATGTAGTTCCGAGTTGCGAATGTATAAGGCGCAGTAAATCCAATTATACAATCAAAAATCCATCTATAGGTGACCCCTACACGTGACAGTATTTTCAGAAATTTCAATGCAGATTTTTTCTACACGTGGAACGCTAGTACTTACTATTATTTGTCGTTAATTTCTTAGTTTTCTATGGTATAAATTTTTTCCTTAAATAAGAATCTATCTGATTATCGCGTGTATGTCGAAGCAAACTGACACACGATACGCTTGCCTAGAAGAACTGTCCTTTGAAAGTAATGAAAAATGAAAATATTAATAAAGAGAAAGCCATTTCTTAATCAAAAAATATTGCTACAATTACAAATGAAAGGGTAAAAGTAAGATGTTTTTACATATCAGCAGTCGAAAATTCGTTGTTGTGTTGCCCGCCCAAAACATAAAACTTTAGGTAGGCCTACAAATTTTCCTCGTTTTAAATTCGCCAATTTAAATTTCGAATAGATAATCGAGTATATAAGCCTAAACCGAGATATATTGAATTACTTTACGAAGTAATTGTATAGAGTTAAGGGGTGCTCGAGTGGTAGCGTCGAGACGCCGCGGCGTCGCTTCGGGTGGATGCTCCATCATGGATCTTGGCAAGAGATGCAGACGCCTTTCGCAGAGGAGGTCCGTTCAGAGATGTAAAAATTGGATACCGCCGCGACATCGCAATGGAATCGATATATCTCGTACAGTTATTTCGTTTCCTCTTTCAGTCTAACACTACACTGCTAGCATTGTCTTGTGTACCCATAGTAATGGCGAGGAAGGCAAGTCGTTTTAATTAATTATAGCATGATGAAATGTGAACCTCTTCATGATCACGGCATTCACAAACTTCTTTAGGTACTAACGTAATACTACTACTACTGTTACTACTACTACTACTACTACTACTACTACTACAAATAATAATAATAATTATTGATTTATGTGCTAACTTAGAAGCCCAAACGTCATTTACAAAGCGAGCACGAGAGAAGTAAAGAATAAAAACATACACAAATAAAATACAAAAACAGGACACTCGAATAATAATTCAATTCAATTATTATTTATTTATTTATTTATTTATTTGCAAATCTAACGGTCCAGGGACCATTTACAAAGTTAGTATAAGAAGAAAGAAAAAACAAAGAAAATACAAAAAATGTCAGTTTGTATGCTGCTACCACTATTAATGATAATAATAATAATAATAATAATAATAATTCAATGAAAAATCGAAGTGATCATTAAGTGCCGAAAAAACTATAATAATAACAAGTTTTATGGGGGTGAAATTATTCTCACTTACTCACTAACTCTGGAGTTGAGCCTTTCTTGAGATGCTGCCAACTGTGCAGCTACTCAAGAACTTCTGAAAGTTAATTATCGTGTTCACAAGAGCCCAGATCAATCCAATCCATATCATCCCATCCTATCTCTCTAAGATCCATTTTAATATTGTTCACCCACCTACGTCTTGCTCTGTCTAGTGGTCTCTTTCCTTCTGGCTTTCCCACCAATATCCTATATTTGCCACATGCCCTGCCCATCTCACCCTCTTTTACGTGATCATTCTTGGAGAAGAGTGTAACTTATGAAGCTCCTCATTATGCAGTTTTCTCCAACCTCCTGTTACTTCATCTCTCTTCAGTCCAAATATTCTCCTCAGCACCATGCTCTCAAACACCCTTAGTCTATGTTCCTCCCTTAATTTCAGAGACCAAGTTTCACACCCATACAGAACCACAGGCAAAGTTATAGTTTTGTATATTCTAATTTTTATGTTTTTAGACAGCAGACGAGAAGATAAAAGGTCCTGGATTGAGTGATAGCGAGCATTACCTGAGTGCGAGG